CGCCGCGCGTGACGGACGGATCGTGCTCTTGGGGACGTTGAGCGGTGCCAAGGTCCCTGATGCTGATATTTCTCAGATTTTGTACAAGCGACTTCGTATTGAGGGCAGCACTCTTCGAAGCCGCGACGAGGTTTACCAGGGCGAGCTGAGGGACCGGTTGGAGCAGTATCTACCAGACTTCGAGTCTGGTAAGCTCAAGATCTTTGTGGATGAGGTCTTTCCGTGGGAGCAGATTCAAGAGGCCCACAAGCATATGGAAGATGCCAAGAATCTGGGTAAGATTATATGCACTATCTCGTGAGGAAGATGAGGTAGAGAATGATTTCAGGCTACAGTATGTAGCATTTAAATCTAGCCTAAAGAAATCGTCCAGAAAGACTTTCCGTTTGAACCCCAAAGCATGGATATCAAACAGTTCACTAGTACATTGGGTGTGGAAACCTGTGACCTATCTTCTTCCACCCACCATGAGAATCCCCATCACTTGCTTATATTCAACCAAATCAACAAAGACACAAACATGATACTGCGGCGACCTGCACGCCACAGTTGACAAAGCAAAAGGTATCATGGTAAAAATTAATGAGCCTTGAGCCAGTTGAGCATCTGGTCATAGGCTGTGGCTTGAGCATCCTTGATTGATGAATCTTGGTACTCACCTACAACCGCGAATCCTAAAGAAATCATTAGCTGACTCATGAACAAGATTAAAGTTCAGGGAGATCGTACCGTGAGGAACTCCTGGATAAACCTGAACCTCATGCTCCACGTTGGCGTCAGACAAAGTATCTTCTCCCCCTATCCGAACGCTGTCGGGAAAGAGAGGGTCGTTTTCGACACAAACCAAGCTGAGAGGAACACTGACGTCCTTGAAATCATCGGGTATAACAGAAGCGGCATGTGCCAAAGCACCGGCCTTAATAAAAGGACCGTTCTTGACACCGCCGCTCTCTGCATCTCCTTCAGTGGTCTTCGTTTGTTTAGCAAGCAGAAGAACAAATCGTGCACCAACACAGTATCCAGCGGCATAGATGCCGTCGCCCTGTTTGATCGCATCTGCGTACTGCTCTCGCGCAGCATCAATGACTCTGTGCAGGATGGGCATCACCCTCTCGTCTGTGACGCGGGCGAGCCACATGTCAATGAGGAATGACTTTGTAACTTCTACTGCCTTCAACTTGAACTGTTCGAGGATGGATGTGGAGTCGTCTGTAATAGCTGTGGCCCCAGGAGCTGTGTCGCCAGCGAAGAGGTCGGGCATGAGGACAAGATAGCCCTCCGAAGCAAACTTATCGGCCTGGATCTGGTTGTTGGTAGATTTGATACCCGTACCGCCGGTCAGAAGGAGAAGGAGTCGTGAAGGCGCATGGGGGTAGTCGGTGGGTTTCGAAACGTAGACCTAAGTCAGGGAGGGTCAGCTAAGAGCTTGGGAAGCTTGCTGGGCGCGTACATCGACATCGTTGAGCTTGATGATTTCGCCTGTGGAGGACTGGCCCGAAGCTACAATTGTTAGCGACCTGCGATGATGATGTTCTAGATAGTGCCGTACGAGTTGGTCTGTCAGAGACACAATGTTCGCCTACGACTGGAGCTTCACTAGCTGGAGCTGGAGCTTGGATATTGTCGCTGGCCGCAGGGGTCTCCTGGGCGTCGCTCTCAGGAGCGCGAGTAGCATTATCTGCGTCGGCCATTCTTGTAGACTTCCCGAGTTCTATTTACCTGTCTTTGGCTGGGATAGTGAGTAAGTTGGTGGAATCGTACTGACTGAAAGACAATGAAAGAAGATGATGCTGCCTGTTGCACGTGGAGGGGCAACCTGACGTACGAGGTTCAGGCGGGAACTCAACGTCATGTTGGAGGGGTAACTGACTTACATTATCGTTTGCCTGGCTAGCAAGAAGTTTATACATGCTAAAAATAAAGCATATATCCCCAGAATAAACTTCTTCGAAGAAAAAAGGGATAGCACGATAAAAGTCTCACAACTAAGGTACTGAGATAATGCTGTTATCAGAATGTATGGGATTGTACCACGAAACTACTGCCTAAGGCCGGAGATCTCATGGCAAACGAGAAGCAGATGCTCTCCAGGCCCTTGACTTAGTAGTTGTTGGTGGTGTGGATGTATGATCTTATGCTACACGAAGGATTTAGAGATGGGATAATTCTTAGTCTCTCCGTTACTACCTAGGTGAGGAGGATTGGTTCCATAGCCGCCTGACCAAGAAAGTAATAGGCATTGGATGAGAACTTGGCATTGTGTCTTTTCCCCAAGTGGTGAATCAATAAGGTAGTCCCTAGAAGGTCACAATGTGTTGCTATGAGATATCTTTATCCCCGACAGGATAAAATCCCCGCTAATGGGACCAAAGAACTGAATTAGAAATAGAAACCCAAGGCCTTTACGAAGTAAAGTACTTTTTATTCAGAAATGAGTATAGTACCTTACCTAGGTAGGGACAGCCGGTAGCTCCTATCTACCTGTAGGTAGGTCCCTTCACAGATCGCATGCCTGTAGGCGGTCTCCACTCCTTACGTAAACAACTAGGTACCCCACGATTCTTGCCACAGCGCGTTTCACTCAACGCGTTGAACGCGTCTTCCACACCTTCTCGTTAATGCACTTCTCTTCTCTCCTAGAACAAAACGAAGAGCTCCCTGTTTCAATAGCATACGCAACGTACCCCAAAGACACGTAAAGCACATTAATCATGGACGCAGCCTCGGCACTATCTCGAGGCGCTCTTGAGTATGTTCTTATTACCTAAACTTCCTGTCTTTGCTCGCTAACTTTTGCTCAGCGTGATCTTCAATGATCCTGATAAAGCCAGCAAGCTCTTCCCGGTACCTGTTTTGCAATGTCTACAAGTTAAGCAGATGGCCCCTTCGGCTCAAGGGGGAGACCGATTTCGACTTGTGATGAGCGATGGGCAGCATTACGTCCAGACCATGCTTGCTACGCAGGCCAACCACGTCGTTCACGACAACAAGCTGGTTCGTGGTTGCATTGCCCGAATCAAGCAATACACACCCAATAACCTGAAGGGCAAGAAGTATGTGTCTTGCTAGATTTTATCGGACGCCCCTAACACTATGTAGCATTCTCGTCATTCTCGATATCGAAGTCATCGAATCTCTTGGCGTCCAAGAAAAGATTGGCGAGCCCTTTGCCGTCGACTCCAAGCCAGCGGCCCAGGAGGGTGCCATTGATGGAGGTGACTTTTACGGCGTCAAGAAGGAAGAATCAAAGACACAGCCCCAGCAATTCCAACAGCAGCAACAACAGTCGATGCCCTCACGACCTGCCAATCATGCTGGCAGTAACATCTATCCTATCGAGGGTCTGTCGCCCTTCGCCCACAAGTGGACAATCAAGGCACGAGTTACCTCGAAATCAGATATCAAGACATGGCACAAGGCCACTGGCGAGGGAAAGCTTTTCAGTGTCAACCTGCTCGATGAGAGTGGTGAGATCAAGGCCACTGGCTTCAACGACCAGTGTGACGCCTTCTACGACCGCCTGCAGGAAGGCTCTGTCTACTACATCTCCACACCCTGCCGAGTTGCTTTAGCCAAGAAACAGTTTTCCAACCTTACCAACGACTACGAGCTCACCTTCGAACGGGACACTGTTATCGAGAAGGCAGAGGATCAGACGAATGTTCCGCAGGTGAGGTTCAATTTCTGCTCCATCCAGGAACTCCAGAGTGTGGAGAAGGACAATACTGTCGATGTCATTGGTGTGTTGAAGGAAGTTGGCGAGGTTGGAGATATTACATCCAAGAAGGATGGCCGACCATTCCAGAAGCGAGAATTAACACTTGTGGATGATACGGGCTTCTCCGTCCGTGTCACTATTTGGGGCAAGTCGGCCAACTCTTTCGATGCTCCTCCTGAATCAGTGGTTGCCTTCAAGGGCACGAAGGTGTCTGATTTCGGTGGCAAGAGTCTCAGTCTCCTCTCTTCTGGCACAATGACCGTCGACCCTGATATTCCCGATGCCCATAGACTCAAGGGCTGGTACGACTCTGCTGGTCGCAATGACACGTTTGCCACCCACCAAAACATGGCGTCCGTGGGCAATGCTACAGGGAGAAAGGAAGACCTCAAGACCATTTCTCAGGTCAAGGATGAGAACCTTGGCATGGATGATCAGGCTTACTACACCATCAAGGCGACTATTGTCTTCGTCAAGCAGGAGAACTTCTGCTATCCCGCTTGTCTATCTCAGGGTTGTAATAAGAAGGTTACACAAATGCCGGATGGCACCTGGCATTGCGAGAAATGCGCTATCTCTCATGAAAAGCCGGAATACCGGTACATCCTCTCCTTGAACGTTGCGGATCACACCAGTCATCAATGGCTGAGCTGTTTTGACGATTCTGGTCGACAGATCGTGGGACGAACTGCAGACGAAATGATGGAACTCAAAGAAAATGATGACAACAAATTCATGGCCGCGTTTGAAGAGGCCAACTGCAAGAAGTTCACTTTCCGATGCAGGGCGAAGATGGACAACTTTGGCGAAGCTCAAAGGTAAGCAGGTCGATCATGTTGATCATTAATCGAATACTAATACCGCTTTTGTAGGATACGCTACCAAGTGATGACTGTCACCCCCTTAGACTTCAAGTCTGAAGGCACCAAGCTTGATGAGTTGATCAAGCAGTACGAGAACAGCTCGCTATGATGTGCCTACGAATGCTCAATCTGGGATCATTGGAGTGCCGACTGACTAAAATATGTGCTTCGGGGGATAAATCGAAACGCTTTCTGCGAAATCTGATGAAGATGGACTTTCGCTATTGGGTCAATATTGGCGCAACATAGAATAATGAGACAAATGCAGTAGCACAAAGGATCGCTATAATTGTGTTGAAACCGTGACTTCAAGAGCCTGCTATTTTGTAACTGTTAAACTTTACCCAACGCCTCCGTGATATGCCGTCGACTTTTTTTTTCTTCTTCTTCTTTCTTCCTTTTTGCAAGCAGTTGTCTACCTAAAGCGACAACTTCTCGTGCTTCCAGGGCTTCTTGCCTTCTCCGTCTCCATAGTCAGCAGTAGCCTGGTAGTCGCCTCTGATCTTGTACTTGTAAATAGTCAGTCCGTCAAGGCCGACTGGACCACGAGAGTGAATCTTGTTTGTGCTGATACCAACTTCGGTACCGAAACCGTAACGCATGCCGTCGGCAAGACGAGTAGCGGCATTCCAGTATACGCCAGCTGAGTCAACCTCGTTCATGAAACGTTCGGCTTCGGCAGAATCAGAGCTCATGATGGCGTCGGTGTGGTGAGAGCCGTGGGTGTTGATGTGGTTGATGGCCTCGTCAATAGAGGAAACAGTCTTTACGCTAATGGTGAGAGATAGATGCTCAGTGTCATAATCTTGAGGGGTGGCATCTTGAACACCTTCTAGTGAAAGAGAAGAAATGGCAGCCTTGCTGGGCTCGTCGACTCGGAGGGAAACTCCCTTGGCTGCAAGGGCGGAAGCAACAGCAGGGAAGATGGTATTCAGAGCTGAATCCTGGACGAGAAGGGTCTCGACAGCGTTGCAGGCAGCAGGATAGCTGGCCTTGGAGTCCACAATAGCAGTAATGGCCTTTTCCTTATTGGCAGAGGCTGTCAAGTAGATGTGGCAGAGACCATCAGCGTGGCCAAGAACGGGAATCTTTGTGGACTCCTTGATGTAACGAACAAGTTCATTTGATCCGCGAGGAATGACAAGGTCAATATAGCGGTCCTGGGAGAGGAGCTGGGAGATGACGTCGCGGGTTGTGACGAGCTGGATGGCTGAGTTGGGGACCTTTGTGGTCTCAAGAGCTGATGAGATGACCTTTGAGATGGCCACGAAGGACTCTGTAGACTCTTTTCCGCCTGGAATAATAGTGAGCAAATAAGTCGATGTTGTGATATTGCGGATGAGTCATGACGTTACCCTTGAGAATGGCGGCATTTCCAGACTTGATAGCAAGAGAAGCGATGTTGGCGATGACTTCGGGACGGGCCTCGAAAATGATAAGGAGGACACCAATGGGACATGAGACGCGCTCCATGATGAGGTCATCGTCGAGTTTTGTTCTCATCTGAATCTGGCCAACTGAGATCGCATTAGTTCCACAAGTCTTATGGTCTTATGACAGTTGAATTACTTGGGTCGTTCAGATCCCTCACATCCAAGATTCCCTTTAGCATATCCTCCCACTTTCCCTTCTTTCCGAGATCCAATCGCGATACAAGAGCCTGGCTAAGACCGCCCTCATCGGCAGCCTTCTTTGCCAGATCAAGATCCTTGGCGTTGGCTGCGAGGATCTCGTCTTTTGAGGCCGTCAAGGCAGCGTGGATGGCTTCAAGGGCATTGTTGCGCTCGCTGGCAGGGAGGGTTGCGAGAGTGAAAGATGCTGTCTTTGCGGCGCTGGCTGCAGCCTCGGGGGAGGCGTTTGTGAGAGACATTTTTCAGTGGTGAGTTTGAGGGATGAGGTTGAGATTGGATGAGGTTGAGGTTGAGAATGAGAATGAGGTTGTAGTCACAATGTGTTAAACTGACTCAGGTGAGGTTGTGTTTAAACTGTGCCCCGCTGGTAGCTACCTATGCACCCCGCCATTATGAGCCTCAACCGCTGTTACATGGTCTATATTTAAAAAGGTTGAGTATAATTGAATTAGGTTTACGGCACATTGTATCTAGAAACGAAATCTTAGCTGTTACCTACCTTACCCATGTTGTGACAATAGAATCTCTTTTGTCTGTATCTAAGGTATAGTACATAGCAGTACCTAAATTGTTGCTTTCCAGGATACGCCCTGCGATATCGGCCATACCCAAACCTCTATAATTTCATGTCCATACTTACCTATTTTAAGGTCACCCTGATTTACGCCTTTCGACCCCAACTGGCCTATTTTAGCTGACCGAGTGACTGCAACTCAATGTTCCACTGAAACGTTACTATCAAACGTCTTTTCGAATCACGAATTGTGATGTTTCATGGAAACGGGTGTGCTCATCCAGCATTGTCTGTTTTGGAATAACGATATAATAGTAGCTAAATTGTAGGCACCGTACTTGTCTGTATGTTGCGCCGTTGTCTAAAACTCAGATGCTGTTTCTTGATTCTACCTGGTTCACAAACCTCATATATTTCCGCGTCAAACAAGATTCTCGTATACGTAACAATCAACAACAAATATCACCAACTCGCAGATTATCTCCGCGTTAACCCCACACAAACCCCATATGTTGTTACCTACCTAGGTCCCTATCGTCGGCACCGTCTTCGGCGTCCCCCTCTTCGGTGTGGTCCCGCGGACAGTACCCCAGAGATAATAGAACTATTGGTCATAATCAGGACCGGAAGCAGGGTGGTTTGTGTTTCCGTCGCAAAAGTCGGCATTGTCTGAAGTGCTAGGATGGGCGATTCCCTTATTATTCATCTCCAAGGCGGAATCACTCTTCCGCACGTCACTGTCACTATCTATTCCTGGTTCTTTATTAATCCTTCCTTGCCAAGTGCTCCAATGGTTCTGAATATACTGCTATTCTGTATCTGAATATCATACATATCATCTCAGAGTTGATCTTGAAAACCTCTTCCCCGTCCCGATAACCGCAACCTTTTCGGCCGAGGCTTCTCCACATCTTCGGGCCCGGCCGTTTTTAGTACAACGACAATGAAACCTGCAGAGAAAAAGCAAGAAATTGATGATGAAAAGATCGATATTGAGCGAGAAGAAGAAGACGGCCAACGCCCGGGAACTGCTGCATCGAGTTCTGTCAAATCAGAACATGATGTTCGAGATACCATTGAGCCAGTCGTGCTCGGTGAGCCCCTGGGACATATAGATACTCGACGATCTACCAAGCGTGCTCAGTCCAGAGCGTCATCTGCACGGTCGAGGGCTCTTTCTGTTGTCCCGAGGTCCAAGAGGCGTGGTCTTTTTGCAAAACTGACATTGGTGCCTGAGATTGCGTATCCTCCTGATTACAAGAACTCGACGAAATGGTTTCTCACCGGTATCATAGCATTAGCCACAGCTGCTGCACCTTTAGGTTCGACTATTGTCTATCGTAAGTCCCTGGGAAAATCATGGCTGCATCCAGAGTTGACAAGAATAGCTGCCCTTCCCGTTTTGGTGAAAGAGTTCAACACTTCTGAGACTGTCACCAACCTGTCAGTCGCCTTGTATATGATATCCATGGCCATCTTCCCCCTGTGGTGGTCCTCGTTCTCTGAAGAGTTTGGACGTCGGTCTATATATATCATCTCTTTCACACTCTTCGTCGTATTCTCCGTCCTCTCTGCCATTAGCAAGAATATCACCATGCTTATCGTCTTTCGCATGTGCGCCGGTGGCGCTTCCGCAAGTGCTCACTCGACAGGTGCAGGCTCAATCGCTGATCTGTTTGAGGTGTTTGAGCGTGGCAAAGCTATGAGTCTGTTCTACCTTGGTCCATTGTTAGGGCCTCTGATAGCCCCTATTGTTGGTGGTGCGTTGACTCAGGAGATTGGGTGGCAAGCGACTATGTGGTTTCTCGCCATATACGGCCTCGTTGTCCTTTTAATGATCCTCTTCTTCCTCCCTGAGACGCTACAACGAAAGCCCGAGACCACGTTGCCTACTACAGAGACTCAGGAACTCAGTCGAATGCGCACTATGGACTCGGCCAAGGTCAAGACCAAAAACTTCGCCAAATCTGCTCGACATTTCCTCGTTGATCCTTTGGGTGTTCTCCTCTATCTACGTTTTCCACCCGTTCTCATCACCGTCCTTCTTGCTGCCATTGCTTTTGGTTCCCTCTACGTTGTCAACATTGCTATCCAGCAGAAGTTTTCCCGCGACCCATACAACTTTGGCCAGCTTTCCATTGGTCTCATGTACATCCCCTCCGGTTTGGGTTACATCTGTGGATCGCTGTTTGGTGGTCGCTGGATCGACAAGATCATGGCTAGAGAGGCCCGTAAAGCTGGTCGTTATGATGAGAACGGGAAGCTGATATATCTGCCGGAAGACCGAATGAGAGAGAATGCCTGGGTAATGACGACCATTTATCCTCTGGCACTGCTCATGTTTGGCTGGGTGCTTCGTTACGGTCTGCACCCTGTAGTACCATGTCTCGCCCTATTCTTCTTTGGAATCTCATCCATGCTTGTCTTTGTAGGTCAACCCCTCCTCTCTCGGGCTCACTAGCTAACCGGTTCTTACAGTCAGTTGCTACCACCATGCTCACAGAATTAATCCGTAAGCGTAGCTCCTCAGGCGTTGCCATCAATAACTTTGTTCGCAATACGCTTAGTTGTATTGGTGCCATTGTCGCTGCTCCATGGATTAACGCCATTAACGTCGGATGGGTTTTTACAATTCTCTGTATATGCTGTCTCATCATTAGTTACGTTAGTATCATCCTGCTGAGGAAGAACGCCACGAAGTGGAGGAAAACAATGGATGAAGCACTGGCCCAGTGAAGATCGCGGCCAAGGATTAAAAAGCAATGCAGTCACGATAAGTTGATGTGTGGAACTATGTATTTTATATACGATCAAGGAAATAAGAATGAAAACAATCAAAATTTATGGTACAGACTGCGTCTCTATCTTGGTCTATAGACATGAAATTTTACTTGCTACCTTCGAAGAGCTTTCCAACAGCATCAAGGCCAATATTACCACCACTAAACACCAGTCCGAGGTCCCAGCCCTCTTCGCCAGCTTCTCGCTCTACCATTGATCTGAATTCCTCATCAAACAGCGCCACAGCCAGCGGGACGCAAGCACTGGGCTCTACAACCAGTTTGAACCGCTCAAACACCAGCTTCATAGCCGCCAGGATCTCTTCCTCGGTGACGCTGTACATGCCCGATACCAAGCGGCGACCATATATGACTGACCAAGGATGCTCACCCACGGGAGTACGTAGTCCATCGGCAACTGTTAGAGTCTTGACTGTTGTGATTCGTGTGCCCGACTCGAACCCACGCTTTGCATCGTCAGCACCCTCAAATGATGGCTCCGAGCCAAAAACTCGGATTCCGGTGTCTTCACAGCTCAGAGCAACACCTGAGAGCATACCACCGCCACCACAAGGAGTCATGATAGCGTCCAAGCCAAGTTTCTCCTTGGTCCTCGGCGCCTCGTTGTCTCGCCCTGTAACCGGTGCCCGGAAAAGTCTCCTCTGCCCGTCGACGACGGCGTCGGCAGTCATCAATTCGGAAACTTGCTGTTGGAATTCTAGCCCGAGGGTGCCTTGTCCAAGGAGAATATCCGGGTGGTCATAGGGCGGCACAAGTCGAGCTCCTGTCTCAGCGATAACTTTGGCGGCCATTGCTTCGCGTTCAGTAGATGTGCTTCCGCTAAAGATAACTCGAGCACCGTAGCCTTTTGTTCCAGCAATCTTTTTGGGGTTGGAGATCTCGGGCATCACAATATGGGCTTTGATGCCACTCTCTCGAGCCGCAAGAGCTAGTGCTTGAGCATGGTTTCCTGTAACAATCAATCAGCCATCATCGTCGGATGAAGCATGCGTGTGACCCGTTACCGGAACTGTGTGTCACGACTCCTTTCTCCTTGCCGCCTCCCTCTAGCCATCCTGGTTCTTGCTTCAGCCTCTCGATGGCATGAAAAGCACCTCTCGCTTTGAAAGCGCCAATACGTTGCATATTCTCGCATTTGAACCAGAGTCTTAGCACTGGCCGGGCCGGCGTTCTACCAGCATAGCGAGTCCCTTGGAGCTCCTCCGCTGTGCGAGGGGTTGAGGCTAGTTTCGTGATAGTCTGGTTGGTCAGGACGGGTGTAAAGTGGACATATGGGCTGATGAGTTTGTGAGCTTCGATGACTGACTCACGAGTCAATGGAGGAGTTGTTGAAAGATCAGCCATATTGATTGTGATAATAGTGAGTCGGGGTGGTTGGGTTCAAGGTATAAGTCTACAAGATGGACAAACTGTGGCTCTATCTGTGCTGCGCAGTCGAGGGTCTTAAGTATCACCAACCCTCTAGTCATGCTCCGGTTGTCGGCTACTCCCAGCTGCCTGTTTTAGCAACTGAATAACGTTACAATCTCGTCGCCAAGCTGACGCTAGACGCTGCTTGCCATCTTTAAGGCGTGGGAGGGCAACAAAGGCCCAATGGATCATATTCGAATGTCAAAGAACTAAACATCACCAGCGGATTGAAGCGATAGGGGTTTTTTTTTGTTTGTTTATAAGTTAACGTAAAATAAAAATGGTATTCGTTTTGGCTTCAAGCCTGATATCAACTTTTGGACCAATTTCAGATCCCCCTCCAGAGCCCAGGAAATTTTTTAAAAGTACAGACAGAAAGTTCATGTGGTTCATAAAAGCCGTTTCCTAGACATCCCATCCCATGTCCTATCCCCCGCTCACAAATCATCATTCAACATTAATAGCCGCTTACTTCTGGTTCTCGGGTCGGAGAGATCGGACGGCCTTGCCAGCGCGCCAGATCTCGAGATCACGGATCTCCTTCATCTCTGCCTCGTACTTCTCACGGTAGTCAGGCTGGCTGTTGTACTCGAGAGATCGCTTGGTCTCGGAACCATCCTTGACGGCGTCGTAGAGGGAGTTGAAGACGGGCTTCAGGGCGTCCTTGAACTTGGGGCTCCAGTCGATGGCACCACGACGGGCAGTGGTGGAGCAAGCCTCGTACATCCAGTCCATGCCGTTGGCACCGATAAGAGGGTAGAGAGACTGGGTAGCCTCCTCAACAGTCTCGTTGAAGGCCTCGCTGGGGCTGTGGCCGCGCTCGCGGAGGACCTCGTACTGAGCAAGGAACATGCCGTGGATACCACCCATGAGGCAGCCACGCTCACCGTAGAGATCGGAGTAGACCTCCTTCTCGAAGGTGGTCTTGTAGAGGTAGCCAGAGCCGATGGCGACACCAAGGGCAACAGCCTTCTCCTCGGCCTTGCCAGTGACATCCTGGTAGACGGCGAAAGAGGAGTTGATACCACGGCCCTCACGGAAGAGAGATCGGACGGTTCGGCCAGAGCCCTTGGGAGCGCAGAGGATGACGTCGATGTTGGTGGGAACCTCAACCTTGGTGAGGTCCTTGAAGACGGGGGAGAAACCGTGAGAGAAGTAAAGGGTCTGCAAGATATATATGTTAGAGATGTGCCTTGACTGACAATGGGTGGGAAATTCGGCTTACCTTGCCCTCAACGAGCTGGGGCTTGATGGCGGGCCAGGTCTCGGACTGGGCAGCATCGGAGAGAAGGTTCATGACGATGGTACCACGAGAGATGGCCTCGTCAACGTCGAACAGGTTCTTGCCAGCAACCCAGCCATCCTGCTCAGCATCTTTCCAGGACTTTCCGTTCTTTCGGACACCAACGATGACGTTGAGGCCGTTGTCACGGAGGTTAAGACCCTGGCCGTGGCCCTGAGAGCCGTAGCCAATGAGGGCCAGAGTGTCGTTCTTGAAGTACTCAAGAAGCTTCTCTTGGGGCCAATCGGCACGCTCTGTAGAGTACTAGTCAGCATTGGGTGTCCAATTGACCCAGCAGCCGCAATTGGAGATTTAACTCACCATAGACGTCCTCCTTGTGGCCAGCAAAGTCAATGGTCTTGACACCACGGACCTGCTGCTGGACGGGGCCAGCGGCAACAGGTCGGGCAACGGCACCAACACGAGCAGCGGAGCGAGCAGCAGCAACGAAAGTTCGCTGCTGAACGCGGGAGGCAGAAGCCAGTTGGCGGGCAGGGCCACGGAGGGCCTTTGTGAAGTTGCGAGAAGCCATTGTGAGGATGTGAGGGGACAGTTTGGGAACTGAGGGGAGAGTGTCTGAGAGAGGATGAGGAGGAAGAAAGGAGGGAAAGGCAATGGCGAGAGTAAAGGTTAAGTAGGTTTAAGCTGTCCCTAATTTTCTCTCCAAGGGACATCGCCTGGAGGGGGGACCGATTTCGGCTTGTACTGTGAGGTGGGGGCCCTATGCTGAGCAGCGGGGATGGGTCTGGGGCTATGTGGGTAGAGGCGACTTGACTGAGAGCGTATCGGAGTGAGGGGAAATGTGTACCATGGACATTACCTGGGACCTGGAGTACTCTCACACACCTTGAGTCAAGTAAGTTTCGGCCAATTAGCGGTGACTTAATATTGTCCAACCACCAAAGCTCCCTGTGTGCGTTTCTGAACACCGTCGGATTGGATAAAGATCTGACCGCTAGAAGAAGAAGGCCCAAAGCAAGATACAGCTACAGGTAGTAATGATACACTATGAAAAGCTCGCTCTTCTTCCTGAAATCCAGTGCAATCCATCAGAGATCTTGTCAAAATCAAAGCCCTAATTGACATCAATTGCCCGCACCATCTCAAGCTATCCCAACTTGGAGCTAATGCTAATGCTTTGACGGGGTAACCCTCAAAAAGAAATGGGCCCTCTTGCTTTCGGAGTTCTGCTAGTCCCCCCGAACTCATAAGCCGCATATCGTCCGTCGAACAACACCACGGCCGATTCAGGCGTCTTGTCCAATAGGGCCCTGCCGAACTCAGCATCACAACTCCATATCTGCGAGCGGCAACGGCAGCTGCACCGCGCTCGGGGTCCTCTAGCTACATATCGGGGGCATATCACTTCCTCCGGTCGATATGTCAGGCAAGATAGTCTAGATCTGGCTCGATGTTGACTCCTCAAAACTCCACTTACTCCGGGTTGCGGACTCTTAGCACCTCGATGAGGCTCAATTCAGATTTCTAGACTCAACGTTATAGTCTATACTCCACGTGCGTAGACGAGACCATGAAGCAAACCAGGCAAGCCACGCCATGCTCTTCTTGAGCCGTTGATCTTACGTCGGCCGCCAGGGCAGCAAGATATCGCCAGCCAATAGAGGACCACTGAACGCGAGAAAGCCCCTCCAAACACTCCCTCTGCCTCAAAAAGACAATACAGGCTAGGTGGTTAAAGTGAGCTTGTGATCATCTGTACCTGAGTAGGCATCGCAAGCTCAGCTCTCAGGTCGACTCTACCCCGCCTCCCAGGTCTCGCCATCGACTCTCCCATCGACCAAACCCGGTCACTATCAACGATCATGGAAAGTTTGGAGATGGAAGGATTGCCTAATCAAGATCATGGATTCATCAGACGCCACGCGATGCTCTTTGTTATCAAATGCTTGTCTGTCTCAAACACCCATTAAGTCGTTGTATCGTCCCAAAATCTTAACGGCCGATCCCTTCTGGTTTTCCATACCTGGGACTCCGGTTTATTTGTCTTATTCCAAATCTATTTCAGGACCCTGTCGTATGTCCTACCCTTGACTACTCCACCACCCATAGCAGTCCTCACGTTGCGCTTGAATCCCTCTCGGTTATTTCGTAGATCTTCAGCTGCCTCCTTGTTGAGCGGGTCCGATGCGTTGGGTTCGAGGAACAGAAACTGCAAACATATTAGCCACCAATCCACAATCATATGTACTTTGAATTTCACGTCTGAGTAACTCAAGGCGCTTTTCTTTCCAGACTCCGTACCTGCAGGCCAACAATCACAGCATTCAAGTTCAGCACTGGCTTCCAGTCCTCTCGTAGAATGTTCAGGCAGACCTTTCCCTCAAGATCGATATTGGGATGGTAGATCTTTTCTCGGCATCGGACCTTGGGAGGCTCGTGGGGAAAGTTCTGGTTTATGGTGAAATCGAAGGTAAAGCGGCTGCCTCGGTACATGCCCTCATCAGGGTCGATCGTGAGTACGAAGTTAAGGATGTCATCGGGGTCGGGGAACTCTGTCTTCATCGTTGATCCGAGGGAAAGTTCTGAAAGATCTGTCACAACATGCGTCAATCTCTTTGTCCTAAACACACCGCTACAAGTCAAGGTCTGGGCAGGATGAAGCATACCCTTTTGCACGCGCAGCTGAGCTGCAGTCACCTTCTTCTTCTTGCCACCCGTCGCCTGGCCCTCGGCATTCTCTGCCTCCTTCTGCTCCTTTTTCTATATCACTGTCAGTGTCTGGCTGGCTGGTGGCGGCCAGTATATAACTCACCATCGACCATATCTTCAACATCGTGGATGTGGGGTGCCCAGGTTTGGGCTGTCGTTATGCGCTGTAGAAAGATCCTTGATGAGATCACAAAATCTGAAGTGCGAGAGCCCAGACACGACGAAAACTCCAAGTTATAGGATAATGTAGGGCAAGTAGCACTGCAAGATTCTGAGAGATTGGTTGTGAATGCGCTGAAGTCAGTTGCGAGAAGAGTCTAGTCGTGCTTAGTGGAAAAGGTGATGGATGATGCTTGATAAGATAACACGGCGTAAGGCAGCCACAAGCCTGATCCTTGAACCCCACCGAAGTTTAGGCGATAAGGTACCACCAGAATGACGCATGATAGGTCGTGTGAGTGAGCACCCAAAGGAGGTAGCCAATAATGGAAGAAAAGGTAACATGGCAATATTAACTACCAAGAAAAAATCATATCATTCAAATGCGTCATAAACCCCCAGGGGCAGATGCCAATCTGAAAAAGACTAAATAGAGATGCATTTGCTCGTGCTCAGGTCTGGTCTGATTATCCTCACTTCCAATGTGCTCTTTTGTGGATGTCCCTCCATTAACTCAAATAGTCAAAACCCAGCGTACGTTACAAAACAAAGGTATCCGGTACAAAAATCCAGTTTGTCTACTATGACAAGTGCCAGTACTTTCCCGTACCTGGCCTCTCCAGAAAGGTGAGTGTCGAATACAACGAGCGTAGGTACGCACGAAGCTTATCGTCTCGAAAAACAGCACATGATACCAGTCCTGCCCAGGAACCACAAGAAACCGGCAAAACGAACGAGCGAGAGCACGGCAGTAGCGTACAGAAGGAACTGGAAGTAATGCGCCTTGCGATCTGTGGCAGGTTCCTATCAAATTGTTAGTATTGACCACATATCGCATAGCGTCGGGGAAACTTACACCCCATCCGAGGTTATCAAACTTGTCGCTGGTAATGCAGACAATAAGGAGAATGTTTCCGAACAACCAGCTGACGACGAGTCCTGTTCGGAAAGACTTGTAGCCATCCTCAACGTCGGCCTTCTCAACCTCTTCCTCCTCCTTGAAGGGAGCAAGAGCTCGGCGGACAGTCTGCTCGAATTGACTGTCGATATCCTCCTGCTCCTTCTCAACTTCCTCGACAACAACCTCGTTCTTCTCGCCCTTGGTGACGTGGGCAGAGGGAAGTGCCTCAGCCTTGTCTGAGCCCTTGGTACCCCAGGAGACATCGTGCCAGTTGTTGAAGGCATAAACCATGAGAATGTTGATGTAGGTCGACATGAGAAGTAGATAGTAGGGGAAAGAGTGGAACATGTGCCAGGGATCGAGGTACATGAACGAGGCAACAAAATTGAGACCATAGATGGTGATAAGGGCGACCAAAATAACACCTCCAGCGCTTGAACCGCCAAAGAAACTGTCGAGGAAAGCGTCGGTCGAGGCGAAAGAGATCTGGTCTCCAATGGGCGTGTCAAAAGCACGAACAACCAGGTAGGCTGAGAGGACCAAGATGTAACCCTGAATGAGACTGAAGACCATGAAGGAAGCGATGTATGTGAACTTGGAGCCCTTGGGCCTGTTACCAAGAGCCAGAATGAACTGGAGCATGACGAAGGCTAAGTAGAGGTACTGAAGCAGGGCATTGACGACAGGTGTACCCGTGTCGCCGAATGGCCAGGCGTGGTAACCGGACGCAGGCTTGGGGGTACCCACGAGATCCATGATAACGGATGTTGTAAGCCAATAAGAACCAAGAGAGAACCATGCGAAGAGAGTGTTGAGAGTGGTGTAGATGAGTTGAATGTGGAGGAAGAACATGCGGATGATGTTATGACCCGACTTGTACATTCGTCCGAAATGCATCAGTGAGTATAGTGTGGCAGCGAATGAACCGTTGAGCCATCGTCGACGTTGACTAATGAATTCAGCTGCACCTTCGGGCACATCGGTTTCACCCTTGGCAGCCTTGATATAGGACAAGTGCCACTTCTGGCCAGCCTTGGCGACCAGCTCAAAACAAAGAATACGATCCTCGGCCAAGAACATGTTCTTCTTGAAAATGTTCATACCATCGATACCCTTCTTACCAAGCATCTTAGACAAGGTATGATCACCATGGAAATACTGTTCTAGCGGGCGGCCCATGATGGCTCGGAATCGGTAGGCTGAGAAAGCACCAGGCAAGACAGAGACATAACCAAACGAAGACTCAAGAGGCTTGTCCAGAATGTTTGAGATCTTGTACTCAAAGTTCTGGACGGCAACGAGGGGGTTGAACAGCTTTTTGCCCCCCTTACCTAACATAGCATGAATCTCACCACAAGCACCTCCCAGGTCCTTATCGTTGTAGAAACCCTCCCAAAGAGCAAGGAGAGATCGGGGACTAGGCTTGGTACCTGCATCGAGCAGGATACACACCTCAGGATTCAAGATACGGCCAAAGGCGTTGAACAACCACCGATGCGAGTTAATCTTCTTGGTGTTCTTTTGCTTCAAACAGAAGATCATCTGAACTGGTGGCAAGTTCTGCGTGCCTTCGTTTGTGGGTCGAATAAGCTGCTGGTTGGGCGTGACGGAAAGCTGGCTGGTGTATTCGAAGATGTGAGCAACAGTCTCCTTGCCGTCGACATCCTTCTTGATAACACCGTCCTGGTACACGCCGACAGTGGCAAGGACATCCAAGGTGTTCTTGTCAGCCTTGTCGATACCATCGAAAACCAAGCATACAACGATCTTCTGCCAAGCTGGACCGCCCTTGTTCCAGAAGGTCGACTTCTTCAGGTTGACGATGTCGCGGATGTTCTGCATGGTGTGATGCAGTGTTCGTGCGAGAAGAACCTTGTCTTCGTTATAGTATGTAATGGCGATCAGCAACTCAGTGTGTCGGTTGTACATGCGAGGTCGCAAATCGTAACCGTTCTTGAGAGTGAAGTCGTTGGGATCACAGGTGGCAGCGGTATATCGCATCTTATGGAACTCTTCGGTACCACTCTCTGCGTCGCGATACTGGGGCTGGACAGCATTCTTGATCGCACTGGGAACAGGGTAATCAATGCTCAGAACTGAACCCTGAACCAGCTTGATCTTTCGGGTTTTCGAGCGGCCAAGACCACCGCCCATCTGAGGCTGCTGCTGTCGCTCAACCCAGCTGTCTTCGGGGTCGAAGGCAGAGTCGGGGCGAGGGAAAGGGGCAGCAGCGTCAAGGTTACCAAACTGACCAAAGCTGCCTCCATCACCATATCCAGTAGGTCCCTGGCCAGGCATGGTTGACGAGGCTCCAGGGGCATAGGACTCAGTGAGACTGTAAGCAGAGACGGGGCGGTCGGGGGGAGTGCGGGCGCCAAGTCGATCTTGGTCGTAACCCGAGTTCAAGAGACCGCGGCCCTGCTCCTCGTCGTTCTCTTGAGGGGGGAGATGATACTGCTGGAGAAGAATTAGTCCTTGCCGTTCAGCATTTAAGCTATAGACAAATAATGTGCACTCACGCTTCCGCCAGCAGGAAGGTCCTGCAAAGCATGTCCTCCATACTCCTGATCACGGCCATTGTACGCCATGATGTATAGTTATGCTCCCGTAGGCGCTCAGCACTGTTGGGATTCTAGTCGATGAGCTTCGGATAAAATGATGCGCGATAGCGATAGCGGTGCGAAGTGAAGAAGGTGTTGTGAGTTTTTCTCTAGTCGAGATAGGAGCTGAAACAGGAGGAAGGAAATGCGGATGGTGGTCACGGGTAGCCACCTAATTGAATAGCAGTGGCAGTTTAGTAGCTCTAGTACCTTGGCCCCAGCAACAGTCAACAGATACAGTAGGAAACTTGAGGCGCCAGCCTCAAAAGAATGGTGATAGTTGGAGCGGGGGGAAAGGATAAGGAGGATGAAGATGAGGATAGGAGGGAAGAGGGATAATGAAGGCAAAGAAGAAGGCTAGTGACAGGGTTTATTTTTCTCCTCTCCTCAAGAAAATGTTTTGATGAAAGGCCCTGGGAACGAATCTCGTTTTGCTCCACGACTGGGCTCACAGCTTGAGAAAGAGAGGTAAGAATAGGGGACTCATCTCGCGCTAAGCCTGCTGAGCCACTCCACTCCGCCATAAGTTGGTACTTGGGGGGGCGAGGATCCATCCCATCTCCAGCTGCCATCCCTGTCAAGAATCAGATACCCGCCCTCTAAGAAACGAGAATCTGACTGCAGTGTGCTCTGGGCTGGTGAGTTCCCTGATGGCGATTCACAGTTGTTGACGACTAACGCGCAGATATCCCTTGACCTGGCTGAGCGTTGAGACGGGCATGCCGTCAAGCTTTACTGGTTTTCCGCACGTTGAAGCATCTCTCATGGGCAGGACAGACTCAAGAGGCTTGCGGCTGTAAACTAAGGTATCGAGAGATCTACAATCTACACTGTACAAATAGACGTGTAACGTACGCACACCCTCGGGGGCAAGAAAACAGCAAACCTTAGTGTAGGGTGCCAAAATAAACTCATCAAAAGCTATCCTAAGCTTAGACTATATTACCTAAGTCTTTTTGTCATCTAGGATCGAGGTTCTGTATTTTCTCTCCTCCCCTACCTAGGTACAGTACCGCTAGATCGTCTCGTCAGCATTGATCCCAAAACCAGCCAGCATTTCAGGGCGGAGAAGGCGGCTGGTTCTTCATTCAACTTTCATAGCGAAGACTTCAGCCACCGCAATATATGCATTCGCCTGCTCACCGTTCCATCAACCTCTGTTTTTTCAACTCGTCTTACAATTCATTCACTAGAACCAAGTTCCTTGCAATGAGGAACTACGTAGTAGAGTGCCACAGATTATGGAGATAACTACGGGACCCTGGCACATTGCATTGTTGTCCATCCAAAGACAACGGGGCATGCCACTAACAGGAGATGCCCGATGCCTAAGCTGAGAATTGTCGGGTTTGCATCTGCAACGCTGCTCGGGCCTGGCGCTTACCGTTTGCTCAGTGGTTACTAACTGTGTTGCACAGTACCTACTCTGCAGTAACTATTCTGCTG